CTGTGTCTCTCTCCGTCTCCATTTCTGTCCCTCTCTCTGTGTCTCTCTCCTTCTCCATTTCTGTCCCTCTCACTGTGTCTCTCTCCGTCTCCATTTCTGTCCCTCTCTCTGTGTCTCTCTCTGTCTCCATTTCAGTCCCTCTCTCCGTCTCCATTTCTGTCCCTCTCTCTGTGTCTCTTTCCTTCTCCATTTCTGTCTCTCTCACTCTCCCTCTCTCAGACTCTGTCTCAGTTGTTGTTGTGTTGTCCAGCTCCAAGGCACCTTCCCGGCTTCACCCTCAATCCCCAGCCCTTTAAACACAGGGAGGGTATCTTACCCCTTGGGACACTTCCCAGACCACCCACTCCGTCCCTGAGGCACAGGGAGCCGCTTCCCCTGTCCGAGGCTGCGCCTGACCCCCCCACACACAGCCCTGTGTCCCACACAACACACACGCCACCCACAGCCATCGACTGTCCTTCCGGGGGGGCGTGACATCGAATGTCCTTCCGGGGGCGGGGCTTCAAACGTCCTTCCGGGGGCGGGGCTTCGAACGCTGCTCCAGGCAGAGCGGCTTCGACTGTCCTTCTGGGGCGGGGCTTTGGCTGCACGCCGGGGGGCGGGCTCTGACTGTCCTTCTGGGGCGGGGCTTTGGCTGCGCGCCGGGGGGCGGGCTCTGACAGTCCTTCTGGGGCGGGGCTTTGTCCGACAATGGGGGCGGGCCATTGCATACACACCTCTGGGGCGGGGCTTCGACTGTCCTTCTGGGGCGGGGTTTGACTGTCCCGCCGGGGGGCGGGCACTGACGGTCCTTCTGGGGGGGGGGCTTTCTCTGAACTTGGAGGGTTGGGCCACCGGCTGCGGCTCCGGGGGCGGGGCTTCGCCTTCGACCCGCCGAGGTGCTCCTCCCGGGTCCTAGAGGCTGCCCTCGCCGGCCTCAATGGATCCACATTACCTGGGACTTTGGCCTCTCGGTCTCCTCCCACCGGGGTCCGACCACAAAGACACCCCGACAGGCAACTTCTGGGTTAAAAATAATTCTTTTAAAACGGTCCTTTTAATGCGAGGGTGTGGAATATGTGGAGCTGCATGTTGTTGCAATGAATGGTGCAGTGGCAGTGTCCCTACCCTTGGACAGGGAGGCCCATCCGCTCCAGGGCACACCACCTGGTGACATCTCTCTGAACAGGGTGATCGGAAAGAAAGGTTAAAGGGGATGCAGGGTTACAATGATGGATCTCAATGAGGGATGGTGAGGGGCTAGGCTCATGGGTTGTCTGGGCTGAATGGTCTCTTTCTAGTGTGGGGGAGTCCAAAACTAGAGGGGCATAGGTTTAAGGTGAGAGGGGAAAGATGTAAAAGGGACCTGAGGGGCAACATTTTCACGTAGAGGGTGGTGCATGTATGGAATGAGCTGCCAGAGGAAATGGTGGAGGCTGGTACAATTACAACATTTAAAAGGCATCTGGATGGGTACATGAATAGGAAGGGTTTAGAGGGATATGGGCCAGTTGCTGGCAAATGGGACAAATTCTGTTTGGGTGGGGGGCCAGCATGGAGAAGTTGGACCAAAGGGTCTGTTTCTGCGCTGTATGACATTATAACTCTGGTGTATATCCTCAGTAACTTAACTGTGTTTTCCCATTTGCCTTGAAAATCATGTCTCGCAAAATTGATTGTGTATTTTCAGGAAGTTACCAAAAAGATTGATGACAGCAGAGTAGTAAAAATTGTTTATTTGGATTTTAGTAAAGCCTTTGACAAGGTTCTGCATGTTAGACTAATTTAGTAAAGTTAGGTCACATGGGATTCAGGGTGAGCTTGCTAATTGGACACATAATTGGCTTAAAGGCAGGAGACAGAGAGTAATGGTGGAGAGTTGCTTTTTGGACTGGAGGCCTGTGACCAGTGGTGTTCCATAAGGATTGGTTCTGGGTCCTCTTTTGTTTCTCATTTATATAAAGGATTTGGATGAGAATATAGAAGACATATTTAGTAAGTTTGTGGATGATACCAAAATTGGTGGCATAGTAGACAGTGAAGAAGGTTTTCTAAAATTACAAAGAGATCTTGATCAAATAGGTCAATGGGCTTAAAAAGTAGCAGATGGAGTTCAGTCTGGATAAGTGTGAGGTATTGCATTTTAGTATAATGAACAAGGTAGGACTTGTACAAATAATGATAGGGCCTTAGGTAGAGAGATTTAGAAAAGACATGAGATTTTTTTATACAGAGAGTGGTTCACATGTGGAATGAACTTCCTGAGGAAGTGGTGGATACGGGTACAATTAAAATGTTTAAAAGACATTTGGATAGATATGTGAATAGAAAGGTTTAGAGGGATATGTGCCAAATGCAGGCAAATGGGACTAGTTTAGTTTGAAAAACTTGGTTGGCATAGACTAGTTGGGTCGAAGGGTCTGTTTCTGTGCTGTTTGACTGTATGACTTATTTTTCTCTCTTGTTGAGCTCAAAGTGTGTGAGGAGGTGAAAATCTCCTCCTGGTGAATGGGTAGTTGCTGTTCCACAGGGAGTTGGGAATCTGACTGTTCCTCTGAGGCCTGGATGCCAGAGTCTGGTTGGGAGTATCCCTGGAAGTTTGCTCAGAACTCTGCACTGCCTCACCCAGTTGAACAGTCTGATTGCAAGAACAAAAACAAAGTTGCAGGTCTGGCAGCATCTGTGGAGGAGAAAACAGTTAACGTTTCAGGTCCGGTGACTGTTCCTCAGAGCTGGAGGTCTGATTGCAAGTTCACATTTTATGTATATGCAATTTACCAAACGTGTTCAGCTAAAACTATTTTATCTTGTTTTATTTTTAAAACATTGCATTTGATGTGTCTGCTCTGGAGATGGTTCTTGGTCGGTTGTGGGCCCCACCGGCTCCCTGTCTCCTAGCGAAGAGGAGCGTGTGTAAGCGCGGACCCTTTTAAGAGCGTGCGACCTTCCCAAGATGGCGGCGTGTGCGCTCGTACGCGCCGGCGTCACATCCGGTGAGGTGTGTCGTGAAGCGGGCGGTTGCCCTGGGAGATTGCCGTCAGTGAGTTGCGGAGTCACCATGGCCGGGCCCCTGGAGCAGGCGGTGACTATGTTGGAGCAGCTCCGCAGCGAATGGAGCCGCAAGAACCCGAACCTCCGCAAGTGCGAGGAGCTGCTCGGGAAACTCAAGGTGGGGGAGGGGAAGGGAGGTGACATGGGGTCTGTTCGACC